GGACAAATGGATCAAGAAGATGTTGTTTATCTATACGATGGAATACTACATGGCAATGAGAAATAATGAAATCTGGCCTTGTGTAGCAACATGGATGGACCTTGAGGGTGTTATGCTGAGCGAAATAAGTCAGGCAGAGAAGGACAGATACCATATGTTTGCACATATAGGAGGATTAGGAGGAACTTAACAGAGGACCATGGGGGAGAAGAAGAGGGGAAATAGTGGGGGAAAGGGAGAGAGGCAAACCATGAGAGACTCTTGAATACTGAGAACAAACTGAGGACTGATGGATGTGGGGGAAGGGGGGAGATGGGCATGGAGGAGGGCACTTGTGGGGATGAGCACTGGGTGTTATATGGAAACCAACTTGACAATAAACTATTTGTAAATAAATAAATAAATACATAAATAAATAAAAATTAAAAAAAGAAGAGAGTGGTAGTGGAAATAGAGAAAGAAGGAGGGTTATAAATTGAGAATGATTCATTGCTTAACAATTCACATAAAGCTGTGTGACTTTGAACTTGGGCTCTAGAGTCCTACAGATGTGGAGAGCTAAGCTTTGCCACTTACTGGCTTGGTTATCCTTGTCCAGTGGCTTTTCTCATTTTTTTCTTTGGTCATCAGTAAAATGAGACTATCCAAAATGCCCACCCACTGTATGCCCCAAACTCTTTTCTAGAATTATCGCTATTTAGTACATTTGGGAATAAAACTGTTTCACATTTATTACTTAATTCCCTATCTTAGCTGTCATTCTTAGGCTCACCAATTCCTTTATTCAGGTATTGCATTTAAGACCTTTCAGATGTTTAATGAAATTTCAGAGAAAGGAGAAATTTTACTATGAAGTTGCACAGTTTAAAATTGATTATTAGGCTCTCATTCTTTGAAAAGTCTGATGTCCATTGGCCACCAATAATCTCACTGGCCACTTTTTTTTTTTCAAATTAAGATTTGCTTGACATACAACACAGGAGACTCTTATTTCTGAACTCTATCCAGTTGCCAACATGCTCTGTTCTTCCTATCTTTTTCCAGTCCTATCTGTAAATCCCCATTATCTTGTCTTATAGTTCATATTATCTTTTTAATTGCTTAACTGTTCTAATACAGCTTATGCCTCATTCTCTCTCAAAGGGGACTACTAAACCTTTTTTTTCTTCCTCCCTCACTCTCTCCCTCCATTCCTTTCCTTTTTTCCTTTCCTTTCCTCTCCTCTCCTCTCCTTTCCTTTCCTTTTTTTTTTTTTTTGAGAGAGAGAGAGAGAGAAAGAATGTGTAAGCAGGGGAGAGGGGCAGAGGGAGAGAAAGAATCCTAAGCAGGCTCCATGCTCATTGCAGAGCCTGGCATGGGACTTGATCTTATGACCCTGGGATCATGACCTGAGCTGAAATCAAGAGTAGGATACTCAACCAATTGAGCCACCCAGGTACTCTCAAACTTTTTTTTTAAACAAAGTCCCTGAAAAGAACTACGGTTGCAGTTTGTAAAATAATGATGCTTTCACTTATTGCCTATCTCAACACTAAGGTTGATTTGAGGACAAAATGATTAAAACCTTTAATAGCTTCCAACAAGCACCACATGATTTGTTTTCATTTTTGACTTGAAGCATTTTTCAGCTGATGACTCGTTCCAGTCATGTGATCTGTTGATTTCCTTGAGAAACTTGGGCCATTTGTAGCCTCAGGGCTTTGAGCATGTTGGATCCTCAATTCTTCACATTTTACAATGTTAGCTTAAATCTCATTTTCTCAGAGACAACTTCCTTGGATTTAAACTTGTGTGAAGTCTGCAGCTCTAATCTCTTACTATTTTTGTTTGTAATACCCAACACAATCTGCAGTTGGCAATGCTTCACATGTGATTACTTGAGACTATTTAATATTTATCTTTTCCAGTGGATTAATTTCCATGATGGTGGGGCCTTTGTCATTTGGTTCACTACAGCATCCACAAGAGGCTTTTAAGGCATTTGGACCATAGCAGGTACACAATAAATATTTTATAAATGAAAAGTGATGTTGACAATCATTTATCCCCCTGGTGTACACTTTATATTCTGGATTTCATGCATTTATAAATGCAAGAAAATCATCTGCATTTCCTTCCTAGAGATAATCACAGTTAAGGTATTGTTATATGTCTGTCTGTCTGTCTGTATCTATCTATCTATATCATATGCATCACTTTGTAAATTTCATTTAGAAGTTTAGTGTGATTTTTTTCCTTTTCCCCTATGTGATTAAATTCTTTTATAGACCATTTAAAAAATGCACACTGTTGCTTCATATGGGCATATAGAAAAGTATCCAATTCCATGTCACTAGAATTTTAGATTACTTTTAGTGTTTCTCTTCTATAAACATATAAAATCAAATGAATGCTGTTACCAACAACCTTTTTGTAAAACTGTGAGAGCCAGGAGAGCATAGTGATTAAGAGAGCCTGAGCTATGCAGAAAGACTGCCTGGTTTAAAGCCTTTACTACATAGTAACTATGAGCCTTGGGGATGTTATAGAGATTTGGTGACTCAGTTTATTTATCTGTAAAATGGGTATCATATTGTTTTTTCTTATAGGACTGTCATGAAAAGCCAAGTATTATTCTAAATGTGAACCCAACAAAACCTGTAATAACTGTCAGCTATTTTATTTTAAAGAAATTTTTAAGAAAATTCTTAGTTGCGAAATAGGACAAAACCTTTACATATTTTTAATACAGTACTTGTTGCATGTACTTTTAAATTGCCTCCCAGAAAGGGTGGAGAAATATGCATTAGCCAACAATGAATATTTAAAATGATCATTGTCAAGTGTCAAATGGCTAAATATATATATTTATATATATATATATAATAGTTTCACTTTCTTTAAATACTATGATCATTGACTCTTAAGTTTACTGGCAATTTGTATTTCATGAATTATCTATTTATTTCTACTGCCTATTTAAAATGCTTTCTATTCAGGAGTTCTTCATAGGATAAGGGTAGTAATCTTTTCACTGCCATGTATAATGCAATTATTTTTCCACAGTTATCATTTGCTTTTCATTTTATGTTAATTTTCTTTGTACAGAATTTTATCTCTTTGTGGTGTAAAATCTAGGAATCTTTTTGCCATTTCTTATGTGCTTAAATTTCTTGACTCTATTTAAATAAATGTACATATGTTTCCTTCTACACTTTTGTATGGTTTTACATTTAAGCCTCTTGTCCATGTAGAATTTTTTTAAGATTGTGGTCTTAACACTATAGCTTAACTTTTCCTCAAATACTCAGTTGTCAAGGAAGGCTTAATTCCTCATCATATTTTATGGTTTTGAAGTTCACTTTACCATGTACTAAATTTTTTAATTAAAATGTGTTACTGAGTTTTAACATGCTACCATAATTGTTCTAGTCAATAGTCTTTCAAATGGTGTAAATTCCTCCCCCTCCCCCACCCCAAGTGTACAATTTACTATTTACCCACTGTTTTGGCTTTATTTTTCTTTTTAAAAATATAATAAAATTATGAGCCTCTGTAGAATAATTCTGTCCTTGGTGTCCAGAGCTAAGTTGTTGTTTTAAAAAAAATTTTTTTAAATGTTTATTTATTTTTAAGAGAGAAAGAGAGGGAGACAGAATGAGGAGGGGCAGAGAGAAAGAGGAGGAGACACAGAATCCGAAGCAAGCTCCAGGCTCTGAGCTGTCAGCACAGAGTGTGTCAGGAGGGGCTCAGACTCACAAACCGCATGATAATGACCTGAGCCAAAGTTGGTAGCTTAAGGGACTGAGTCACCGACGCACCTTTAAGTTGGTCTTTAAACAAACAATGGATTTTAATTTTACAGCTGACCCTTGAGCACGTTTGAACTGTGCAGGACCAGTTATATGTGCATTTTTTATGGTACACTACTGTAAGTGTATTTTCTCTTCCATGTGATTTTTTAAAATAACATTTTCTTTTTCTCTTGCTATACTTTATTGTATGAATGCAGTATATAACAGATACACAAAATATGTGCTGGTTGACTCTTTATATTACCGATGAGGATTCCAGTCAAGAGTAGACTATCAGTAGCTTAGTTCTGGGGGACTCAAAAGTTACAGGTGGATTTCTGACTGGCAGAGGAATCAGCCTCTCTTACCCCATGTTGTTCAAAGATCAACTGTGCTTATGTATTTCTTGTAATTTGAGAATTCTGTACTGGAATATCAAACACATCTACACACGGTAAATCAGTTGCTGTCAAAAGATTTATTGAAGAAAAATCAGCAGGATGAAAACAGACCCATTTTAAAAGTCTGTGTCAGAAAAGAATGAAGATACATGTTCTTGAATTGCTAACCAAAAGCATAAGAAGAATGCAGTATCAGTGCTTAAGACCTGGAAAAAATTGACAAAAATTCAGGAAAGAAATTTTACATAAAATTAAATTGATTCATACATTTATACAAAACATTGCTTTTGATAAATTACATGTTTATGAAATAATCATTTTTTTCTTAGTTTGCCTCCAACATAAGCCAGGAATCCTATAATAGTTCTTATATTTCTTACATGTGGGTGCAAACAATTACTGAAAAGCCTTAATTCTTAGTGAGGATAGCATGTATTTTCTAATAGAAGAGAATCATTGGCTGCATGAAAAATATCTGTTTGGAATTAACATTTCAGACCTTTTAATACTACAACATTTTTTTTTTGAGATAAGTTAATTCAATTCTCTTCAACTCACACTAAAATGTGCTATTGAGGGTTAACTAAAATGACAAACATCTCTAAATGTAATAGGAAGTGAGCTTTCTTTGTTGCTCTCCCTTCATATCCTTGAAGGCTGGGATTCAATATTTCTATATTAAGATAAATAATTGGATAACTAAATTAAACTTTCTGATACAAGGGGACCTCTTGCATACTGAATTTTTAAGTTTCTGTAAATATATTCTACTGCACGACCTCTATTGTTAAGCATCTGCATTTTTCTGAGTCTAATACTTGCCTTAAATGCTCACATTCTTTAACTTATTAAGATTTTTGCTTGTTGGACAAACTTCTTAGATGTCAAAACTAGTTGGTCAGGCTATTATTCAAGTCCATGTTGCATCTGTTTTGTTGCTTTCAAATCAGGAACTCATCTGGTTCTTCTTTCAGTAGCTTAAAGACACCCATTTCAGTTGTAACAGCATCGTCCTCACGGGTTAGTGTATCTAGATCAGAGGTAGCTCTTGAAAGTGGCTCACTGTCCTTAGTTACAGATTCCACTGTATTATTTTCAGACAGATCTTCTTTTGTTGTAAAAGATGAATCTTCCGTGAGGTTCACATCTACTGATGTAGGGACTACAAAGTCATATCTGGATTCAATAGCAGTAAGCAAAATGGGATGGCTTTCTGCTTCATTAGTAATATCTCTCTCCATCCAAACATTGACTTCATCCATAGACTCTTCATCAGTTAGCAGAATATCTTCTGGGTTATCTTTGTCCCTTTCGACAGTGGTAGTGAGCTCAAACACAGTGATGAACTTTTCCTCATCAGAGTCTGTTAGTTTAGGCACAGCATTGGGGTCATCCTCTGGAATATTTAGGTCAATTTCAGTCATTTTCTCTTCTGTAAGGGCAGCTATGTCTGGAATAGTGGTGAAGTGTTTTTCAGTAGCAGGAGAGATTTCATTCTCAGGAATAGACGAGTTGGTAATTTGGACAGCCTCCTTAGCAGTGACATTGGATTTAATTGAGGAACTGTAATTGTTAACATTGGGTTCATCCTTCTTAGCTGGAAGGGCAGGGTTGTCCACAGTGCTGGTGGTGCCATCCTTCAGTGTGCTAGAGACTTCAGAAGTTATAGAGACATCTTCATTCCCTGGGCCAGTGGTATCAAAGAGAATATCCTCTTTTGCCATGTTAGTGGAAAAATCTATTAAAGAAACAGTAGCACTAGGTGATGAAATATTACCAATTTTCACTGGAATGAAGTTTTCAGTAATAGAGTCATTAGCCATGGAGTTTCTTGTGCCCATCAGAGTAGTAATTTCTTTCTCCAGATGTGTTGATGACTTAATAAGTTGAAACTCAGCATCATCTTCTGATTTTAGTTTTTCCTTTGGAGATGTAAACTTGTCACCTGTTGTTGAAAAATCACTTTCTAGTGTATAGTCATTTACTGAAGTGATGTGGTCTCCTTCTGAAGTAATGGTTGTTTCTGATTTAGGAGTAGTGTTGTCAGCCCCAAATAAAATGGTTGCTTCGGTTGTTGTTTTGCTGCTTTCTGTTGGAGGATGAGAATAAATTTTTGGCAAACCATCTTCAGCCATGGGGCAAAATGGCACCATGCGCACACACAGGTCTTTCCCTGGGCCTGGTGGTATCTCTAGGCAGGAGAGTGATGGTCATGATAGTGATTGAAGCATTGGTCATCATGGTGATTGTTGCATCAACCATAGGGCCAATGGCACTGGCTCTCCTTGGAGGTTGTTTCTGTGCTCTGATTGGGCAACTAGTTTGAAGAGTATGGATATTAGATGAAAAGACTGTAGAATCCTCTCTGATTATGAAATCAATGTTCACAGCTGGATTTATCTTGTTTTTGTTTATAAGGGACGTGCCTTCTAATATGGAGCTAGTGTCACTTGAAACAGACATACCAGAGTCTGCCAGATACTTTGTGGGTTGAGTGTCAGTGGGGACAACTCTGGGAGACATGAGATTATCAGCATTAGCTTCAAGTTGCCTGTCTTTCAAGTAAGTTAATATCTTTTTGAGGTGAAGTGTCTTCTTTTGAGATTTATGGTTATTTAAAGGTCGAAAAGCATTGATGACAGTTTTGGCAATGAATGTAGCATGCAGAAGGTAATTAAGTAGGAAGGATTTCAATTAGTTCTCCTCTTCAGAGAATGACTTTTCACTTTCTCAATAAGGATAATGAGTAGGTAGTATTTAGGGTTTTTGTAGTTTTTTCTTCATTCCAATTTTTACTTTTTCATGAATTAACATGCTGAACAAGGACGATATCAGGTTTTGTAGATTTAATTTCTTCAGGGATACTTTTCTGTAGAGTGTATTACTTCAACCTAATGCCAGGGGGTTGGCATTATATGTCAGAATTTTCACACAGAAACAAAATCAAAATGTGGAATAACTGTAGTAACCTTAACATTTTTATCCTCAAATTTCAGAGGGAATGTTTTCTATAATGATGTTAGTTAATTCAACCGTAATCATTTTGTTATTCTTAATGTTTAGCTACTTAGATGAAAGGAGATTATAGTCTGGTGTTCATATTTTCCCAGTGTTAGAATAAAGAGAATTTTTAGACTCAGAAACAACTAAATCTGAAAAAGGGCAGCAGTATCAGCCAGAGCAGTGGTTTCCATCTCAAATGAAAATGCTTTCTCTTCATTAGATTTGGACTCAACCTCCAAGTTTACAGTGTCTTTTCTTAGTTGATTGGCCTGGTATATAAAACCACTTTCTGTAGAATTATGATGGATTTTAAGGTGGGCAATTCTCATTTTAAAAATACAGGTAGCTTCTCCAGAAATGTTTTTGCTTCAAGGAGATGTCACAATGAGGGTCTCAATGTCTCTATTGACATAAGAAATGCTTTCAGCATCAGGAACAAGGAGGAGAGTCTTTTAAGTTAGTGACAGTCATGGTTCTTTATTTTTAAGTCATTTCCAGTGGCAGGAAAGGAAATCACAAGGTAAAGCCATTCTCTGGGTTGACTAACTTAGTGGGAGGTTTTTAAACCCCTGTTATCTAGTGTTTACAAGGCTTAATTCAGAATAAGCATGCTATAAATGGAAGATTGGTGTCCTTTTGAGGAGAATTCTTTTTAGTGTGTACAAAAAGGGAAAAAAGAAAGCGTTAGAAATGTCAGGTGAAATGATATTATCTTTGTACACAGTAATTTATCATATAGTCTTTAATTTCAGGGATTACTGTTGTGCTCACATCAACTCTGCTTCTACTAATGTAACTATGAAGTGGGATCACACTGATTATAGCATATGAAGACTTTTCTTGGCAATAGAGAATATTATTAGCGTTATCTTTTTTTTAACCATTGACCTCAAAAAGGACACTTTACATGGATCCAGTGTGTGTCATTCACCAAAGAGCAGGAAGCATATGATGAAAATCCTGGTGGGACTGCTGGAATTTTAGCAATTTTGAGTGTAGAACTGGAATCATCTGCTCTGGGGAACATAGGATACTCTTCCTGGAACAACAGATCCACCAAAGATACTAGGTGAGTTAAGACAGAGGATCAGATTCTATAGGGGAGTTTCATTTTATCTGAATAGTATTTTCTTCTATTGTTGTAGTGTCTGTTATACTAATGGAAATAGCTTGTCTTTTCTCAGAAAAGCATCGCGTTTATATTTAAGTAGCAACTTCTTCAGGTCCAGGATGGAAAAAACCCTTTTTTTAAGTGAAAGGAAAAAAAAAAAAAAAAAAAAAAAAGCTGTTAACAAAGAGGGAGTGTTCACAATAAGGCCTTAGGAATATTATCTGACAGTTTAGGATTTTCAGTGATACTTGACTAGAATGAATCCTCAGATATAGACTTTGAAAATGCTTATGTCATAGTGATGCCCACCTTTAAGACTCTCTTTGTATGGAGAATATTTTTAGATTTATCAGATGAAATGTAATGTGGGATTTTAAAAGAATTAACTGAGATAAGTGGTATCTCCTATACATTAGAATTCCTATTTTATTTTTATTATTATTTTTTAAATATTTATGTATTTATTTATTTATAATATAATTTATTGTCAAATTGGCCACCATATAGTGTGTAAAATTTTCTCTAGGTTTTTGGGGTAGATTCCCATAGTTCATCACTTACATACAACATCCAGTGCTCATCCCAACAAGTGTCCTCCTCAATGCCCATCACCCATTTTCCTCTCTCCTCCACCACCACTTCAAGCCTTAGTTCTCTGTATTTAAGAGTCTCTTATGGCTTGCTTCCCTCTCTGTTTGTAACTTATTTTTCCTTCCCTTCCCCTAAGGTCCTCTGTTAAATTTCCCAAATTCCACATATGAGTGAAATAATATATCTGTCCTCTGACTGACTTATTTCACTCAGCATAACACCTTCCAGTTCCATCCACGCTGTTGAAAATGTCATGATTTCATTCTTTCTCATTGCCAAGTAGTATTCCATTGTATATATAAACCACATCTTTATCCATTCATCAGTTGAAGGGCACTTTCCATAATTTGGCTATAGTTGAAAATGCTGCTATAAAACATTGGGATATATGTGCCCTTATGCATCAGCACTCCTGTATCCCTTGGATAAATTCCTACTAGTGCTATTGCTTGGTCGTAGGTTAGTTCTATTTTTCATTTTTTGAGGAACCTCCACACTGTTTTCCAGAGTGGCTCCACGAGTTTGCATTCCCACCAACAGTCCAAGAGGGTTCCCATTTCTCCACATCTTCACCAGCATCTGTAGTTTCCTGAATTGTTCATTTTAGCCACTGTGACTGTTATGAGGTGATATCTCAGTATGATTTTGATTTGTATTTCCCTGATGATGAGTGACATTGAGCATCTTTTCATGAATCTTTGGGCCATCTGGATGTCTCCTTAGGAAAAGCGTCTATTGATGTCTTCTGCCCATTTCTTCACTGGGTTCTTTGATTCTCAGGTGTGGAGTTTGGTAAGTTCTTTATAGATTTTGGATCCTTGCCCTTTATCCAATATGTCACTTACAAACATCTTTTCCCAAACCATCAGTTGCTTTTTAGTTTTGCTGATTGTTTCCTTTGCAGTGCAGAAGCTTTTTATCTTGATGAGGTCCCAATAGTTCATTTCTACTTTTAATTCCTTTGCCTTTGGAGTTGTGTTGAGCAAGAAATTGATGCAGCTGAGGTCAAAGAGGTTGTTGCCTGCTTTTTTCTCTAGGATTTTGATGGTTTCCTGTCTCATTTAGGTCTTTCATTCTTTCTGAGTTTATTTTTATGTATGGTGTAAGAAAGTGGCCTAGTTTCATTCTTCTCTATGTTGCTGTCCAGTTCTCCCAGGATCATTTGCTAAAGAGACTGTATTTTTTTCCATTGGATACTCTTTGCTGCTTTGTCAAAGATTAGTTGGCCATACATTTGTGGGTCCAATTCTGGGTTCTCTATTCTATTTCATTGGTCTATGTGTCTGTTTTTGAGCCAACACCATACTGTCTTGATGATTACAGCTTTATAGTAGAGGCTAAAGTCAGAGATTGTGATGCCTCCCGCTTTGGTTTTCGTCTTCAATATTACTTTGACTATTCTGAGTCTTTTGTGGTTCCATACAAATTTTAGGATTGTTTGTTCTAACTTTGAGAAGAATGCTGGTGCAATTTTGAAGGGAATCACATTGAATGTGTAGATTAGAATTCCTACTTTAGAAAGAGTCTGTGTATCTTCAGATTTTATAAATTTATTGGAGAAAATGGAGTTATTAACCTTAGATGAGGTGATTATCATCATTGTTGGAATGAAGCTGCTGAGGAAGTTTCAGGTTCAGTATCTCCATTCATGAGAAAATTCCCAGCTTCAGAAACAGGTAGGTGAGAGGAACAGTTACTTCTTGAAATTTGGTTATAGCAACATCCACATTTTTGGCCTCTTCCCCTCCAGTGATTGGAATGTTCGGTGCATGAGTAAAGAAATTATAATTGAAGGATGTGTTGGCCTGCGGTATCACTATTTTTTTTTCAAGGAAGATGGTGTAGATAGCAGGGTCAGTTATGATCCTCATTTCTGCTTTGTTGTTTGTAGGCTCTTCAGGGATATCTTTTGGAGTAATTGTTTCTGTGACTGAAGAATATCAGCCTTAAATAAAGTGTTTCTTCCAAGCCCCTTGTTAGCTTGTGGTACAATAGAAATTGAAACCTAAGTAATATATATTTTTTATCTTGACAGTGGATTAATGTGTATCATCTGTGCTTTCTGAAGTTTGATGTTTAGTATGTGTTGCTCTGAAATTGACTAATTTAATTCCAACTGAGAATTTCCTTCTACCATGGAAATGATCTCTGTGTAAGATAAAGATTTTTCATCAGTAGGAATAACTGTAATTACTTCTGTGAGCAAATTGAGTTCCCAGTAATGAAGTAGGTTTCCTGAGAATCAGATCCATCTGGGAGGGAAGTCTTTGGCATGTGAAAGCTTGAGTAAGCTGCTACAGGGACAAGGTCAGAATCCTTATTCACTGATTTGTTATCAGCACTAACATTTTTATTCACAAGATAAGGCCTTAGGTCAGAATCTTTTAGTTTGTTTCCACCTGAATGATTGGATCATTTCCTATTCTATTTACATATGTAAGGTGATTCTCTTCAGCTGTGTCTTTTACTGCAAAAGCTT